ACAGACCTGGCTTTCCAGGGTTTGGAAAACTCTTCTATATTAACATGTTTCTAAACTGTGTTAAAGTTACAGTACGTACATCATATATTTCTCAGCTCGAATACCCTTTTAAAGAGAGTATTATATCTTTGTACTAATCCTGTGACTCTGGCTTCAGCATAGACAAAATAGCTAAAGAAAGAATTTATCAAATAGTTAACTGTTTAGCTTTTAGAAAGCTGTTGCTGAATAATATAAAGGATTATGGCAAGGACTGAAAAGGGAGTAAAGTAGAAGTAGAGCATGATCAGTTCTGAGAAATAAAAAAACCTGTTGTTTATAAACACTATTAATGTTGAGTTAAACTTCAGCTTAAAACTACTTCGGGGAGCTTTGAGTTAGTTTTGTAGTCCTGATAGGGTATAGATAAATAAATAAAAATCTGCTGGGCATTTGCACAGTTTCGTCTTTAGGAAGATCAGTGAACAAATACTAATTTATTTTCGGACATAGAAACCTGAATTGTGAAGACTTTTAGAAGTGATCAGGGTAAATACAACTTTAATTCTTAGTAAAATCTTGATAGTTCTTAATAATATTCTGGTTAATTCTTAGTAATATCTTGATAAAAACACATGACTCAGAGGAAATGAAAATTCCATTTCCACTGACTCAAGAGACTCTGGGCAATTAACTTACTCCCTGTGTGCCTACGTTTAAAATAGGGTTAATGTAAGGTGTGCATTTCAGGATGCGATGGTAGAGGCAGGAAATGCAGTATGAATGAAGGCAGGCAGGAGTTGAGAGTATGATTTACTGTCTGTAAAATACCTTGAGGCTTTCAGAGGCAAGAAACTTCACAAATACGGAGTTCCAGTAGTACAGTTGAGGGTTATAAGTTATAAACAAATGTTGTATTTAGTTGGGATTTAAATTTTGAATTCTTGATTTGCAGTGTCTTACTGACACTAAAGATGAGATCTTAATATGTCTTTTAAAAGAGACATTTTGTATACAAATTCAGGTTATGACTTGACAAAAAAAACCTGATGGAAATAAAGCTCTTCAAATATAGGTGTGTTGTCAGTTTGAAGAGATCTTTCCAGTGTTGCTCTAGACTGAAAAAAAAAGCTCTTCTTCACAAAGCAAAAAAAAATTGTCTGCCAACCATTTCGTCAGATCACAAAGAGTAAAATTTCAAATTACTGTTTATTGAAAAGACTATCAAGATATGCTCAAGGAAGGGCAGTCTGATTTCCCCCTCCCCGTTCCTCCCAAAACGGTGAAGTTGTGTTGTTTCTTGAGGTGGAAGATTTAATGTGTTATATGCCTTCTCAGTGGGGAAAAATGAGTGCAGGCTGCAGTTCTTAGTCTGGCAGCAGCATTGTTCATTCAGGAAATTCCCCCCACATAGCGATAAAACAACTCTCTGTATTAAAGAACTCCAGAATAAATCAGTAACTGCTATATATCTTGATCTGAAAATTGGGACATGGTTTTGACATAATAGGCTTATTACGAATTTGGAAAGAAGTGGGGATATGTGTATGACTTAATTACTTTGACCTGCAGGAGCTAAGGAAGGCTTCTGTGTGTCTTTCTGTATGAAGTCTGCCTCCTAAGTGCACCCCTTAAGATTAAAGACACTTGATTCTTCACGAAGATCTGTTTAAAACATTCCACGTGTGTTTTTTCTTCCCCAAGCTGAAGAAAGGGACCCAAAAATAAAGTGCATTTTTTATTTCAGATTGTTTTAAATTTTTATTAATACCTTTCATTTTAATATCTCAGGGACACATCTGCTGCTGTCCTAGAGATGCTTCTTCTCCAGTGTTGCTGACTACAAATGACCTAAAGTCTTTTTTTTTTTTTTTTTTTTGGTAATGTGTCATAGCAGTATCCATGTTTTATAACACAGGCAAAAGTGCCTTATACTAAGTGACAGTATTTTGCAGAGCAATAACTGATCCTGTTATTTAGTCATGTCCAGAATCTGGCCCTAAGTGAGAATTGGCAGCAATGCTGAATGAATTATTTGCTTTCTGGAAAACAGCTTTCCCATATAATCTCTGGGAAAATTTTACAGAAGAAAAAAACTGACTTTGTAACTTGGTGCAAGACTTGCTCGCAGTATAAAACTGGATTTCATGGTTTGACAGTTTTATTTGAATTATTTCACCAAGGTCACTTTTCTTTCTCCCTGTGAAATTCATTGCTGACATAGTAAATGGGCATACCTCCAGTAGACTTAGAACAATCTATAACAGCAGTGAATTCAGCACACAAAGTAGTACTGAAGTGGCCTCACTTATGTTTTGGGTAGAGCATAACAAGAACTAAAAATAGAAATTAATGATGGTGAATTTGTTTTTATTTTAAATTAGGCTTTGTTCTCATCTGACTTCATTATCAGTTTAATTTACTGGATAAATTATTTGGTCTTGACTAACATTGACTTAGAAGTCTCTGAACATAGCGTATTGATCTTTTTGAACTCTCATGCTCCCACTGTTGCTCCTTATTTTAGAAGTATCGGACTAGATCGAATTTCTGCTACTCTTTCCTCCTTACAGACACATTTATTTTTCAGTTGACCAACTGAAAGAATAATCCCCTTTATGTTTGAGCAAAAAAGCAAACTGGTTTTTAATGTCTTTAGCCCTTTCTAAAGTTGCTAGAGCAGACTTTTATGAAAAAGCACATGCACAGGAAGAAATCTTCATTTAACGTATTGCTTTGCTCCATTTTCCCTAAAATGCCACTGGAAGCAGGGTGAGTTTTCTGGTAACTATCGCACAGTGAAAGACTTCCTTCTTGAACGAGTATTGTTACGATATGAGATGTTACTGAATGTTGGAACTTGTTTTGGGGGGAAGAAGAAATGTTTATTCCATTCGAACTTGTTTTACCTGGCATGAACGTTGCTATTGGAATTCATCTCAAGTACAGTACTGCTGCTCCTATGTGGCTGATGTTTTTCAAGGAAATCATAGGCCTAAAAATAGTCTGCATAAACAACAGTAAGAGGTTTGTACTTTCAGTTCCAGGTTTTAGCAATATCTTGTTGTTATTTTCTAATTGTCAGTTTCCAAAATCCACTAAGCTGATTAGCAGAGTGTTTAAAAACAAAACAAAACAAACAAACAAAAAAAACCAAAATGAAAAATCCACCTCTTGTGGAACCTTGCATAAAATGTTATGCTTAGATAAATTCAGTACAGAAAGGCTGGGTCATTGTAGTAATCACCTTTATATCCTTATGAACATGTTATGTTCTGAACATTTTTCAAGCATCCTCCAACTTGTGAAATAGCCACATGACTCTGAAACTGTGGTCTTAGGGGAGAATATAATGTGGAAACACTCATTGGAATTCATGATTGTTGTATGTATTTAATATCCTCTCTGTACTGAACAAAAAGCTTTACTTCTTTTCCTTTGGATCAAAAAAAGAAAAATAAAATTACTTAACAGCCTGGAAGAGACAAGGAAAAAATCCAGCTTGCAAATTGCAGAACACAATTTGTCATCAATTTTATCCTTGTATATCTGTCTCCACGTCACCTTTTGTGATGGAAATTGATCTTTACGCTTTGTCTTGTGTTTTTAGTAGCATGTTTACTAAGATACATTTTAATGTGTTTAAAATTCTGTAATTCAGACTAAACAAAAACTACTTTTCATTTGTCTCTGAAACAAGATGGTGATCTAGTTCCTGGTGAAAAGGGCTGAAGCCGCTGTTAAAACATACAGTTATTTTTCCTCCTTCCCCTGCTCTTCATTAGGTGTTTTAGAAAGTCACTTGGGAAGCAGGGGCTGAAACTGAGGGCTACGATCCTTGCTGATTGTAATGGGGGTTTGGTTTCTGATTTGTGAGTCTGGGGCATGGCTACCTTCACCCCCCTTTAAATTGTTGCCTGCGACTGTAGTTAATGCACTTCCAGCATACCTACCTATGTTTAGGGATCGGAAGGGAAAACTCACCTTTTCTTTGCGATTTCTGCTTCATAAAGAAAAGAATTTGTGCAAAGGAATTTAAAAGGAAACTTAAAGTATATTGGTTTTAAGACTGTGATTAATCATTAATGTTACGGGTAAAGTTAACTGTAGAAGCATTGCTAGATCTCCGAATAATACTGAAATGGAAGGTGTCTGAGCATGGTGTAGCCCTGCTGGATACTTGATGTTGGACAATGTGATTGGGGGTGTGAATAGCATAAAACCTGCATCCTGAAGCTGCTGGTTTGCTGCGTCTTCGAGTCTCATAGTAACACCACAACAAAACAAAATTAACAAATTGGTTCCTTGAGATTTTTGCTCTTTGAGTTGAAGTGAAAGGTAATTAGGAGGTTACAGTTAATTGGTAAAAAGATTTTTAAAGACTCCAGGATATCCTCTTTAGGTAATGCCTAATGAATTTGGATAAAATACATCTTTTTATACCCATTTGGCCTACTACTGCTACTTCTCCAGAAAGTAAACTGAAAAACTAGTACCAACAATTGACAGAAAGATCAGTATTCCCTCTCACTTAACTGAACTTGTAATGAAATTGGTTGAGGGATTTCGTTTATTAAAAGAATTATAGTGACGATAATTTTTTTAAAAATACTCATTTTACTTTCAGGAAAGTTACATGTAGGCAATTTATTTGAGTCGTTGCTTTACTGTTAGCAGTAGCAGATTATATTGTACAATTTATGTGGACAAATTACCTAAATTAAATTACTTGTATGTTTGTTAGCAGAGGGAGCAGAGTGGGAGGGGGTTGGAATGAGATTACCAGACCTGATTAATAAAACTGTGGATCTGGCCCTCTGCTGGGTGGTGCTAGGAAATGCATGTTTTAAATACTAGCGCATGTATGTTGAGCAATTTAAGTGTATTCAGCATTTTGTGAATCTGAGTGCATTAAAATATAACAAATCTTATCTGGGAACCTGTCATTTACTAAAGCATTAGATAGTTTGTCTAATTTGAGAATGAAAATTACTCTTTTTCTTTCCACTCCCCAGTTTTCTAGACAAGATTGACATAGTCAAACAAAATGAATATACACCGTCTGACCAGGTAAGGAAGGTTTCGTTAAGAAATTACACAATTTATCTACCCCTTCCGTCTTTGAGGATAACTATCTCATTCATTTTCTAATTGCCATTTGTGGCACTAAGACAGTGCCACATGTACATATTTAGTATTCCAGTAAAAATTATGTTGTCATTTGGATTGAGATTATGTTTATATATGTAAATGTACTGTGAAATGAAGATCTGCCTAGATTCCAGACTTATATCATGCTTCTGTGACACTAAAACTCAAATACCCATTTGAATGAGTAATTTATAATGTTTTGCGCTCCTTGCTGAATAACCATCGTGCACTTTCTTTGATGCAAAGTTGGTTGGTATCTTCCCAGCCCCGCTGGCTCCCACTGTAAACCAGATTTTGTAAAAATAACCATGTTAGAAGATTCTATTTTTTTATCAGAATAGGAATTGTAGTTTTTGTTTTGTTACAGATAATCTGAGGATCTTTTTAGGACCAGATCCCTAATCCAAAATATTCCTAACTTTCTGCCCATAAATAATGCAATTAAAGTTGTTCAAGAATAAATTAACCACTCATCCTTTTAAAAATCTAAGTTTTTTTATAAATGAGGCTTTCTTATCACTGAAATAATTCTATTTTCAAGAAACAAAGTATTAAAAATATAGATTATTATATTTGAAATTTGGAGCAACTAATCTTCAGACATGAAACTTTAAACAAGTATCAGTTTTATATTGGAGGCTAAGGGTGTCAGGAGTTTAACTTGTATTTACATATACTTAGTATATAGTACTAACTATAGTACTTACAATTTACTTCTAGCAATTACTTAAGTAAGGTGAGTATTTAAGTAGTTACTTAAGTAAAATAATTACATACTTTTACTTCTGTAAGTAACTGTAAGCACAAGTACTTACGGTGCTTGTTTTGGGACCATTGACTGCATTGGAACTCCCCACAAGTATACTGTAAAACAGACCCATTTGGATTATCCTCTGGGATGTTACATGTTTCTCCTAAAAGAACTCCTGAGTGTAATAATCAAATCACGTCCTTTCTTTTTTTTTCTCCCCTTGAGGTGGGTGAGTGCTTTTTTTTTTTTTTTTTTTTTTTTTTTTTTTTTTTTTTAAAAAAAAACATCATACTTTTATTGATTTCTAGAGATGCAGAGTTCCAGAGTCCAGTTTTCCAAATTTGCTTCTGTTTTGTTGGGGTGTTTGAATTTTTAAACTGTTTCAAACACACGTTAGAACAATGTTTAAATATGTACATATTTCAATAGGAGTATTAAAATAGCCAGGCAAGAATAATTTACTATCAGAAAACTGATGTTAAAATGTAGCCATTTTGTTTAATGATTTAACAGTGTTGTCTAACCTTTGGATTTTGTGTGGTTTTGACTTTGACTAACCAGTTTGGTACCTATGTAGTAAGAACAGAGCTTTTATTGTGCGTATAATTTTTTTTTACAGTCTGTTCCGCTTAACATGATCTTGTCTGCTGCAAATGTTAAAATTTATCTGCTATTTAGACCCATTATGAAGAACACCAAAACTTTAAGTCCTAAATTATAAAACCTTTAGTTGAATTCAAAGTGATATTTGTAGTTAGTTATATTTGGACCGTGTAGTCAGTCTGCAGCCTATGCAAATGAGGTTCTTCTAGATCAATTACCCACTAGGCACTGTATATGGCAGTCAGTGCTTTGCAATACAGAGTAAATAAAAGCCAGTACAGTTTGTTTTTAATAGGATTTTGTAGCGCTTATAACAATTCCAATTGTTCGTAGCTCACAACTTCTGATTGTTGTTTTTGTCTCTACAGGAAATTTCAAATTTTATCTTTGAAAAGCCCAATTCTTGTAAGATTTAAGCAGTTGAGCTCCCGGTTCTTTGAAAGAAAAAATGGAAAATTCTGACACCTAGACACTTCTTTTAATAGCCAAGCACTGAACAGTTGGGGAGAGATCTATCTTCTGGGGTTGGGAATTATTTGGTGGTAGTTTAAAGATCCTGTTGTGTGCCACAATTCCACTGAAATCTGTGAATGCATCATCTAATCCCTAGGGATGGGTCTGCACTGTTCTGAACTCTTGCGTTTGCTTCAAGTGGCCTGTAAATGTTTCCTCCTGTTCCAAGATTGGTCCATATAACCTGCTAGTGAAAATACACGTACTTTAAAAGTTGAGCACACCCATATGTGTGCACACGTATTCAAGATCAAAACCTTAAATGCAGCTTCATAATGCTCTGTTCCCTGTTTTTGCAGTACAGAATACACTGTCAGCACTGGGTAAAAGGTTTTCATTTCTGTTGCTGGATATATGAAGAATTATGAAGTATCTGTGTTGAATCAATGACTTTTCCTTTACGCTCTAGGATCTTCTCAGATGCAGAGTTTTGACATCAGGAATTTTTGAAACCAAGTTTCAGGTGGATAAAGTAAATTTTCAGTAAGTATCCTTTCCCTGCCCCACCCCCCCCACCCCCAATGCAGACAAATACCAGGGTAAATTGGAGGACAATATACCATGTAGTCATTGAGACTACTGTATTTCTCAAGTTGATGTTTAATAGAAAGCAAGTATTTTATGATTTTTTAATTTCGGAGTCTGGCTTTAAAAAGAAATGCAAATTGGTGTGCAATTTTCTGCTTTTATTTTAAATCACAAAGAACAAAACGCTTTAACTCTATTTTTACCAACACTTTTTCTGAGTATTTTATTCATTGCTAGTTTATATAGTGAAATATTTGACTAAAAACTTTATACATATCTAAGTAACAGAAAATGCATGTTCTCTTTACTGTCCCAGGTTAGAAAGATTGCTTGATCCGAACAAAAACTGCTGAGTTTTGGTCTGGTCTTGTTGACTTTAGATCTGTGATACTTTTTTCAGCAATTGACTTCTTGTAGGACCTTTTTTAATGTCTTGGCTTGTAAGGGTGAAAATGAATCTGCAATGTACATACGCCAGAATTTCTTACCTTCAAGTGTTGTAGGTGTTAGTGAAAGTAAACATAATTATATTTTGTGATGAAAGCTCTGCGTGCATATGTTGGTGGACTGTTACCTGTTCAGGTTCTCATAATCCTCAATTCCTTTTAGCTTCTATGACAGAGAAGTCCTAGAATTTCTTGCATTTTCTGTTTGCATTTGGGGAGAAAAAAAACCCAAACACAAAATGTATTCTGACTCGATTTATGTTTTTTTCTTAGTATGTTTGATGTTGGAGGGCAACGAGATGAACGCCGAAAATGGATCCAGTGTTTTAATGGTATGATTAGAATTTATGTTTGTTTTATAAAATAGTTCTCTGCAAAATTTTAATGCCTAATCTTAATTCTCTCACTGTGTGAAAGCCATCTTCTTTTCCATGTAGCTTGATAAGGAATTATCTGAACAGTCATATGGGATGGAATTTCTCTTGACATGTAAACTGCTGTAACTGCATAGAATATCGTTAGGGAGAATGTAAGTGGAAAGCAGTTAAAGTTTGATAACTCAGCATAGCTTGTCCATTTCCTTCAGCTTCCCTCTCTTCATTTAATTAGGATTTTTGGTGGTGGGTTTGTGCATTATTTGCCAGCTATGTGAAGGTTTACATATGTTTGTGCCTATACAAAATATACAATTACATGATAATTAATATATGCATAAAATCAGAATATCATATTTTTGCATATAATTGCAGCCACATTGCTATGTCATGGGTCCTTCTTTCTGAATCAGCACCGACCCATTAATGCAGTATGAGATTGTAGGGAACATCTGTCCTGTTAGACATGGTGTCGCATACAGTATGTAATAAACTATAGCGTTACATAGTGTAGCCCCAAAATGCCCTTGTCGAAAAAGTTTATGATGTCGTTTATAAATCTGCACTTTTCTGGGGAGCCATGCATAATAATATAATTTCTTGAAAATCAGCCCTAAGGGGAAGGCCCTTACTGAAAACATACAAACAAATACCCTCATTTAAGTAACCTGCATATAAGCTAGATTCCTTAGAATGCTAACATAGCACCAGCCTAGATACGGGTAAGACCTGAAACATCTCCAGGCATTTTGTAAGATCTGGTGTTTTAACACTGATATCCCCAGTCAGTTTAGTTCAGGTGATTATATTCTTTACTCCCATACAATTTAAATTAGGTAGTTTTGTGTGTATCCTGAAGTGCTGCATGTACCTTCACTACAGCTGTTTATTTTACTCTCTGTCTCTGTTTAGACGTGAAACCTTTCTCCACACAAGTCTTCTTACAGCTAGAGTTGGTGAAAATATTTTTGTCTTTTTCTTTGTTGTTTGGACAAAATATTTATGAAGCTATGCAAAAGTCTCTTTTTGTAGAAAAGTTATAATGAGATCCTACAGAATAGATAAAGTAGAATGCAACTTAGGATTCATCATATTTTGCTACGGTTACTGTTATAGAGTATCACCTGAACACTTATATGCGTGGAACTACTATGCAATATTTTCTTCTGTGCTATTAATAACAGATTTGTTTGGGTTTTACCTCTGCTCCTTCCTCTTCCTGTTACCTCATGATCTGACTCATCTCTTCTGCTGTTGATGTCTGGGGTAGATGAGCCTGGAAGTCAGTGTGAGGGGTCTGTAGCAGCACAGCCGCACAGAAACGCAGTGATCTGGGTTCTGTGATCCTGGGAATATCTCCCAGGAAAGAGATAGAGGCCTCTAAGCAGTGTAGTACGCTATAGGAGGACTAGAGCAATTGACCATGAATTTACAGGAATCTACTATTTTTATTACTACTACTCACGCAGCTCAAAAGTGCCTTTTGTCCCTGAGGTCTTCCCCCAAGGGCCTGTCCTTTCTTGATAGCTCAGAGTTGCTTTCTAAATTTCTTCACACCTTTTAAATCTTCTTTAAATTCTCCTCTTAGCGTTCTTCAGTTTCTCTCTCTTGCTTCCGTTCCTTTCTTTGCTACGTTTTCTGTCATTCTGTCAGCTTCTATTCTGTGGCCTGCCTTTCCTATCTTTAATGGTTTCTTCATTTTCTTTTTTTATTTCTGGTACTTAGAAAGCTGTCAGCAATAGCATTCCAGCCTGTTCTTTTCATGAAGCTGAAAAGTCTGGCAGCTTTTTATTGAACTTTGGGATTCCTGGATGTTTCTTCTGAAGTTTTGGTATTAACTAATGGGTATTTCTTGATTTAGATGTGACTGCTATCATATTTGTGGTGGCGAGCAGTAGCTACAACATGGTTATACGAGAGGACAATCAGACCAATCGGCTTCAAGAAGCACTAAACCTCTTCAAGAGCATCTGGAACAACAGGTCTGTGAATTGAAGTTTCATTGTTCATATCACATAAATTAGTAATCCTGTCTTATACTATAGTCAAGACTTGTGTACTGGGCCTGGCTAGGATAGAGTTAATTTTCTTCATAGCAGCTCATATGGTGCCGTGTTTTAGATTTTGACCGAAACAACACTGACAACACACTAATGTTGTAGCTGTTGCTGAACAGTGTTTGCAGAGCATCAAGGCTTTCTCTGTTTCTCACTCTGCCCCCTGCAGTGAATAGATTGGGGGTGCACAGTAGGTTGGGAGGGGACACGAGCGGGCAGATGACCCAAACTAACCAAAGAGGTATTCTGTACCATATAACGTCATGCTCAGCAATAAAAGGGAAAAGAGGGTGGTGTAGGAGGGTTAGCCATCTTGCTGGGTGGTGCTCTACCCACCCAAGGTGGTGAGTCATTGCCTTTGCATCACTTGTTTTGTTTTCTTCTCTCTTCCACTTATCCTTCACTTATTAAACAAATTTTTTTTTTTTTTTTAATCTTGACCCCCAAATTTTCTTGCTTTTATTCTTCCTTTCCTCTTCCTCCATCCCACTGAGGGGGAACGTGAGTGAGCAGCTTGTGCTTTGCTGCTCACCGGCGTTAACCCACAACAGCAGCCTAGCCTGTGTTACTTGCTTCTCTCCGCGCAGTCCAAGCTAGTCTTTGATCGCAACTGCCTACTTGTTACATTAATGTCTAATACACTCATCTAACTGAAGAAAACTCTGGAGACTTACAAATTGGTAGTTGCCATATTGAGGCTGAAGTAATTAAAGCAGTGATAGAGTAGCACACTAAAAAGTGGATATGCTCACCAATTTGATGTATTTGGATTAGCAGTAGAAAGTGGGCAATTTTCATTGCCCGCGTTAGCAGCACACAAACCAAACTCGGGGTGTGTACACCCGGAATTACACCATTGGATTCAGGTATAAAAGGAACCTTTCAAGAGTATTACAGCGTGTCATATGTCTGTTGTCTCCAGAACTGGATTAAGTTTCTTTTTGCTGTATGATCCTAGCTGTGCCTTCTCAGAGTGCTTGCTTTCAATTTTCTACAGGTGGCTACGGACCATTTCAGTAATTCTTTTCCTGAATAAACAAGATTTGCTAGCAGAGAAAGTTTTGGCAGGGAAATCTAAAATTGAAGACTACTTTCCAGAATTTGCTCGCTACACTACACCAGATGATGGTAAGATTTTTAAGTTGTATTAGCAATTTATCGTTTCCGTGTTAATCACGTTTGTAATGTTTTTGGTAATTGCAGCTAAGACTTGAAAACTCTTAAGTAGATATAATCTTCATTGTCTTTCAGCCAAACTGCGATGTTAAATTTTAGGTATTAATAATGAGAGAATCCTGTCTTTTATACATTTAATATATTAATAATTTCACCATGCCAAAATCCTGTTACTTTGGTGGTGTAGACCACAGTACAGCATGTCACAAATAGGCCTCTGGACTCCCCCTAGTCATACCTGTGGTCATTTCTCTAACCTGCCAAATGCCTGGTACTATGGCCGCTGTAATATTCCTTTGTTCTCCTGAAATCTTGCTGTTTTAAATAATATGTTATGGTTTGTCTTACCTCATAGTTAGTTTTACAAAGTATGTTTCTATCACATGTGAGCAGAAGACAGAACAAGTTATGATTTTTAGGCGTTATCACCAAAAAACATCTGTTTTAATGAGATACTTACTTATTTTATTATTCATCAGCAACACCAGAGCCTGGTGAGGATCCCAGAGTTACAAGGGCCAAGTATTTTATTAGAGATGAGTTTCTTGTAAGTATTTCCTTTCTTTCAGTATTTTTTATGTGATTCTTCTCTTACACACCTTCTACTATTGCAAAATGCTGTCGCTTTTTGTGTTATACTTAACATCCACACTGCATAAAACACTGTTACGTTTAAGAGCTTTACTGCTGTTTGTTAGCTGCTCTTCAGAAATTTGTTTGTTGACACAGTGCATAATTAAATAGCAAAAGAATTTGTGAGAATTAAGAAACCTCAAATAGGTTTGATGACTGAAGTCCTGCTGTTATTAATGGGGCCAGATTTTTATTCCATGCATTGTTTCTAAAGATAAAGACTAATCAAAAGATGCATAATCTGTAAAATTATAAATGTTCTTTTCACATTATCTTTCCCATTACCAGTCAGCTGAAGCTACAATAGACAGATTTTTTTGAATATTATTACAGTTACTTGTAATGGTGAGCATGGCAATCAAATTGTGGACTCATTTTAAGATGGAGCAAAATAAAATTTTGAGGGAGGCTTTCTGTAAGTGTAAAGCAGGGATAAAAGCCTCGTACAAGGAGGCAAAATCCCACTTTCTTCATGGACAAATTGACTAGGAGTTGAGTGGCTAAATTCTGCAAAGCTGCATGTAAATAATAGCACTTTCTTGAGTCCTCGTTCAACTCTGAAATTCCCCAGTATGCAGTGACCTTCCCACTGTATAATTCTGATCATTTTAAATTTCATGTTTTAGGTGAGAGAGTGAAAAATTGTGGGCATTTTGCCACTTAGTTACACCCTTTGAAAACACAACTCACGCATACCTATCTTAACCTTCATTCTTCTGAGTTTTGAGAACACGGGGGTTTTTCCCCAGTCAGTTTTATTTTAACCCAGTATGTCTCTCTTACTTTTAACAGAGAATCAGCACAGCAAGTGGAGATGGAAGGCACTATTGCTATCCTCACTTCACATGTGCAGTGGATACAGAGAACATCCGGAGGGTTTTCAATGACTGTCGGGACATTATTCAGCGCATGCACCTTCGCCAATACGAGTTGTTGTGATGGAGAGCACTTTTTTCTGTGTTTTGGACTCCTTATTCCTTATTAAAAAAAGAAAAAAACCACCCTTGCCCACATAGGGTGGAAGAGAACTGTTTGAATCTCCCATTGATTTGCACCCCTCAACTTTTTCTCCTTGCTGGACAATAGCAGCACTTCTAAGCTTGCTTCTGTACCCCTCGGACAGTTTGAGATGGCCCCTAACACTTAAAAGGCCATTTCCATGAGGATTCCCTAACACTGTTATTAACAAAAAAGAAAAAAAAAAAAAAAGAAATAAAAACTAATTAATTAAAAGCCCTGAATGTGGAGCACCTGAAAGAATTTGGGATAAAAAATTAAAACATAAAACAAAAATTGGGGAGAGAAAACTTTAGGTAATTTAGCACTGTTGTGGGCATAATCATATAACCCGTGATCTCCACTTTGTATCATTCACTGCATCAGACTAAAGAAGGTGCCAAGTCACAGACCAAGTTTGAAGACAGACACTTGAGTTTGGTTCTCTGACTGTAATGTGGCTTTGAACGGAAATACTGACAATTCTACAACAGACCTAGACAGTGCAAAAACCAACTGCTACCTTTCAGAAGGGTATTTTTAAAACCAGTCTTGGTGGTCTAAAGACAACCATGGACATTTATGAATTGAACTGCGTATGGCCTGTGATTGCAGAAAGAGTTAACCACACACTGTTTTCAGTTTGTCCACTGATGATCCCGTCTGCTATAAAAATCATTATCTGGACTGTAGTCCTCACAGTCTTTCCCTTCTTTTTTCTTCTTCCCTCCCCTCATTTTTTATTTTACTGCTGGATTATTATTCTTGTACAGACTGTAAAATGTATTATTTTGTACAACTTTATTGAAAAAAAATAACTTGTAGAAGATCTTTGTGCCTTGATTATGGCTGTACCTGTACAATGAGCTAAGATGTAAGTATGTTTGATTGCGCTGTACAGCTTTGTCAACCCTATCTGCAGCATTAGCTCAAGGTAGGGAAAATTTATCTGTAGTTTAGTTTTTCTGGTTTATAAAAGAAAGAAAAATACTGTTTAGTAAAAAAAAAAAAAGAAAAAAGAAAAAAAAAAGAAAAAAGTACAAATTGTGCAAACTTAACCACTTTAAAAGTGAGGTCTTCAACAAGTGACCAGATGTTGCAGCATCATGCTTTTTAATTTTTAGCTTTAATTCATTTAAATCTCTATCCAAATGCAAAACATGGCTTGTTTCTACATAAACCAAATTTTGCTACAAATTATAAATGTTAGTCTTTGGTCATTCATAGTCCTTTTTGCTAAAGACAAAACCAGAACAATAACAGACACATAGGGCATCATGCAGGTCTGGTGACCATCTCTAGACTGGGCCAAATACCCCACCAACCTCCACTTAAGCTGCGTGGGCATACTACTACCAGAATGACAAGGTGTGCACTGCCCTTGGATTTGGCCACTGAATTCCAGTTTCAAATGACATTTTTATTTCTCTTTTAATAAAGAGATACTTTAGAACCTTTTTGTTTTATATTAACTATATAAGTAGCTTAACGTGAAGATGTGTGGATTTTTCTTAAACTTGAATAATTTATGCAAATTATATGCTTAGAACAACATGTGGTACAGTAAAAAGAAAAAGAGCAAAAATCACTGTAGCAATAAGAGAGCATGTAATTTTAGTAACTACTACACTGCTTTATATTTTATACCTAGGTGTTTTATGTCTCTGTGAGTGTGTTACTTTTTCATGTGTCTAAACCTACGTGTACAATTTGTACAGAGTCAGAAATTACAGCTGTAATAACACATCTAGAACAGTGTTAGCCTATATTACTCAAACACCCCTGTTCCTTCTTCATTTACACCCCTAAACTGATCTGGATCTTACTGCAGTGACTTTAAAAGGAAAACAAAAGAAACAAAACAAAAAACAAACGCCAAAATACTTGCCTCTTTGCCTTTCACACTAGCTTCCCTCCACCCAAGAGACTGTGTTAACTTTCTTTTTTGGGAAGAGGTCCAGTTTAAATTAAAATTAGGGTGTGGTCAGTGATGTCTGTGCAGCTAGATTTGCTTCAGGTATCGAATGCCTTTTTAATACTAAGAACTGCAGCTGTTCAGAATTGTGAGTTTTCATTGCTTTTGTGGCTAAACTTTTAAATGAAAATTAATCGCCTAGTCCATTTTCACGTAAAGAGCAGTGACTTGATGGAGTTACTGTCCCATCTCTCTTAATTCAAAATTACCAGTGATCGTCCAGAAGACACTAAATCGTCTAAAAATTTTAGCTGCGGTTGCTACTCATCTTTTAAAAATGATCTTTCCTGTTCACAGGTTTAGAAAGTTGCCACCTGAACTTTGTAGAACTATAGGAGAACATGACCGAAAGCAGCCCCCTACAATTTCGGAATGTATCCAGTGCCTGTAGGTTAAGGGCTGGTGTTTCCACTAGGTAAAAATGGGAGACAAATAGTGGAAAGGAAATACATTGTGAGCCTTAATTTCAGTTACAGGAGCCAAAATCTTCAGTTTAGTGCCAACCCTGAACTTTTTACGCCTAGGAGGAGTTGGTGTAAACACCAAATTTATAAATGGGGAAAACCTGTAGTGGTGTGAGGAATGTAATCTCTCGTTTGAGAGAAACAAAGCACCTCTATTAAAAAATTTTTTTTAAAAAATGCTTCTTCCTTTGATAACGAGAAGGATACAGAATAACAATGGGCTACATAAAACAGCAAAAGTTTAAGAAACCTACAGCTTTATATGAACAGAAATATTTAGGGGATGCTTTTTTTTCCCTTAAGTGAGGAAAAAGGCAATTGTTTTGAATATGGTTGAGTTGCACAAGTATGGAGTGTGTGTGTGTCTTAATGTCTCAGTATTGCCTTTGTTAGTCTCTTTATTAGTCCATGCAGTTTGGTGGCCTGGTAAATGCAAGTCTTATTTTTAACAGCTTTTTTTTTTTTTTTAAATACAAAACCATAAAGCTTTAATGCTTGCTATTTAATAAGTAACTGTGTTTTCTTCTGTCTCTAATTTAGTGGCCATAATTTGCAGTTAATTGAACCATTCCAACCTAATGCTTACCCATATTTCCTAGTTTTGTTTTATTTATTTATTTGAACTTCTTGTTTTCATGATTGAGGACTTTCACTTCTGTCTCATTCATCTGTTTGGAAACTTCTGACCTTACAGCCAAAACTTAACTCATTCTACTCAGTATTCATCATGATGCTGAAGTGTAAGATACCTGCAAATGTAAACACTACCACTTTTATTAATAAAAGCAAATACAGTGTTTTAGGGCACATTTGCATCACTATAGTTGAGGTTGTGTCAGTATTTCCATTATAAACCCATAGAGGGTCTATACCTTGGCACTAAATTGCCCTAAGCTAATCTTTGCCATACAAGGCTTCTGCTCAAGCATGATCTGATGGGTTGGTTTTTAAACAGTTTCCAACACAAACTCTTGTTTCTGTTTTAAGTTATACAACTGTTTTGTTGGATGGGGGTTGGTTTAAAGAAAAAACAACAAAAACAACAAACCAACCTGGTTCAAGATTGTTTTGGGCACTTCTGTAACTCAGAGAATGGTTTTGATTTTAAAACATAACCTTTGGCAAGCCAGTAACCTACAATATGGTCTGATCACTTTGGGTATTTTGTAAAAATAATAATAAATTGTAGAGATGTTGTGGTTTCAAAATCAGCTACTGTGCATTTGCAGTAACTTATTTCAACCCAAGAACTTTCAGTAATTTGTACATCAGTACATATACTCAGCAGCCAGTGTGATGCAGCAGAATAGTGATAACTCCTGAAGGGGTTTTTTTAATGATGTGGAGAGGTAAATCTACTACAGCCTAAAAAAAGATTCAGCTGCTTCTGAAAGCATCAGAAACTGCTCTCTTAAAGGCTGAAACTGGAGCCCTGTAAGTTGTTAGGAGCAGACTTTGATGCAAAAGCATATGAAGGCATGCTGGATCAGTTGTCATAGACAGGAGCCCTGAGGGCTTATCTTCATTTATCTAAAAACTATTTTGAATCATGGCATCGAGGATAGGATTTAACTTGGAGTATGTCATTAACTCCAGAGGAACTGAAGCTAATTCTGTTCCAGTGTGTTGCACATAATTGATACCTGCAGGATAATGTTCTTCTACCAGTAAATCTATGCACAGAAATATTAATGTTCATCACTTTAGAATCTGAGCACCTTGTAATTAGTCGAGGCACAATATTCCTGTAAATGATGTAGGATGTTTTGTATTATATCCTATTTTCCAATGTCAAAAGTTATGTACCAGGAAAAACAAAAGATACAAACAGGATTACACAGGAAGTTGACCACAGATACGGAGACAGACCCCATGACAGCTGAGTACCAGTCCAGTGCCTTAGTGACAATACTGTTGGTGATTGGTGCTATACAAATGTCTAAGATTAATGAAGTTGTTATAAAATTACGTAACTTATTCTGGAAGAGAGTTAAGTTCTCTTCTTGCCCCAACTGTATCTAATACGCTATGTGTATTTCTAACAATGCTGGCACTTACCAGACCTCTTCCATGGAAGTAGATGATAAAATTCCTACTAACTGTAAGAAGCAGGATCAGGGCCATAGATTACTATCAGTGGAAATCTCACACAGGATCAGGTCCGCATCCCTAAAATACATGTTGAGTTTGTATAACAGTAAAAATATTTACAAGCAAACATCTCTTTGCAGTCCAAAACCAGAACTGTACCCTTCTTCCTCAGCTTGATATTTCTGAAAATTCATCCATTGGGAAAAAGTCATTCTGTTCTATGACAAACTTTGAAGTGTCTTTGTAAATAAAATAAGCTACAAAGGGGATTTCTGAACCTCTGCTGATGAAAGCCGTTACACTGAAAAATCTCTCTGGTGACTGACAAGATAGAAATTCCAAGAGTGAATCTATTTTAATCCTGGTCATAACCAGTTAGCTTAAATACTGTGAGTGGATGTGTTTCAGTTAGGTAGGTAAACTGCTTTAGAGTATTTTACTGTATTGCAGAGATTGCTAAAATTTCAGCCATGAGTACTGGCTTCATAATTAATTGTTTTCAACCCTGATTCTCATCTTATTAAAAGTTAAAACTGCTTTTTACCCTGTCTACTTTTAATGTACTGAGCTGAGCAAAACGGGTGCAGTTTAAAGCACAAGTCTACTTGGAAAAACAACTTGGGAGGAGGTGGGGAGGCAAACCAATCTCTCATTGCATTAAACATAAAAATAATAAGGTGTTGGGTTTTTTTTTTCCTAACTTCTGGGTCCTATAAACTTAGCCTAGTTCTGTGGAAAAAATAGGGAGTTCTTCTCTAGGTTAACAACAGCAAGTGCTCACTGATACCTCTGTAACGAGGGGTAACTGATCAAATATGTAATAGATAATTTTCTTTTTAAGAAAAACAAAAAAACCACCAAACCAGAATTTTCAGGTTTTCCTAATTTTTTTCACTTAGAAAGTTTGACTCAAAAATCTTTATTTTAATGACAGGACAAAATAAAGCTTTTAAACAAATACAGAGAGAATGATACATTTTTGAGGGAGAAGATGCTGACGTTAGGTTTTTTTATGTAACATAACATGCTTCTAAGGCTGGGGTACCAGTAGACAAATGTAAGCAAATTCAAAATTAAAATGTGAATGTATCTCTTCACTTTAATTTTACCTAGTTGTTTTATTAAGTGAGTTGTCTAATACTTCTTTTTTTTTTTTTTTAATTTACTACTACTTAAGTTTGGAGAAAGAACAAGCTTAGGACAGAGGTAGTAATGTTGGGAATTCTCTCAGTTCTGTTGTTCTGTTATGCAAACTAATGTTTTTAGGCTGTGAATTTCATGTGAATTATTAATAGTGAAGTATAGTGTTTCTACTTGTAGTTTTCCGGTATTTGATACGACTTTGGAATTGTATCATTCTTGCAACTAAAATGCTCGAGTGCCAGCAGAGATCAGGCAAAGAAAGGAGCTGCTGTGTAAGGGTTATGAATTACCGCATCAGGGTTGTGACTGTAAGGCTACTTGGAGAGGGGCCCCATTCTAGTTCT